GAGCAACTGTAACCCACATAATTTCCTTAGGGATTAATAAAGTATTCTGATTCTGATTGTTTCAGGATGACCTGCCATTATCCAATGACACATCTGCTTACCTGCATCTTTTGTTTCTCCTCCTCTTCTTTTCTCTTTTTTCTAAACTGAGCACCTGATGGCTTTGAACTTTTCTTGTCCATCTTCTGTTGGTTTTAATTTTGCACTCCAGTATGAACACAAATCCCCCAACTCGAGGATCATCACAACATGATCTAATAGACCAACAGCTTAGTTCACAGATTCACTTTGTCTAGTTTATTTCTGGGATTTCACACAACCCAGGATTCACATCATGAATCCATGATGGGCTTGGATTTACATCATTATAAATGAAATGTGCTCTATTTGGAAGCAGCAGGCCCCTCCCCGTTCCACAGGCTGTGTGAGACTTTAAATCATCAAACTGTAAATTTTAAATTGTTATTGATCCTTTACTCAGAGTCCTAAAGTTTATATTTATTTTCTTACTCTTCTTATATATATTGTTTGTTTTCTTGCACTGCTTTAACTGGAGCCTCATCGTCTCGTCTCTATATACTGGACTGTATGTAGCGGAGATGACAATAAAGTTTACTTTGACTTCATCAGCGAGCAGGCGCACTGAGGGCTCTCGCGCTCACTTTTCGTGTATAGAATTAAGAAAAAAACATCGGTGCAAATTATAAGTCTGTATCATGATGTCTGGTGTTTTCGTGTTTGTTGGTTTGTTTTTATTTTGTTTTATTTTGCGAGTTGGTTATTAGACGCTGCTCCAGCCAGCCAGAGAATCCTCCGCCGCCCCGCCCTCTCCTCCCTGTGCAAAACGGAGGGCGCCCTTACTCCCAGCAAATGGGCGATAGAAAACCGATCGGTGCCTGTGCCATTCCCAATATGTGCTGGCTGACGTCGGGGAAGTATGAGTACGAGCATTTTTTTTTGCCGATGCCCGTGATGCCGCCCCGGGTAACCGCCCGTGTCACCCGTATCTGAAACTGAGTGTGGTGGGGAGGTAGGCCTCAATACTTTGGAGGGCCTGAGATGTTCCCACAGAGGAATCATCTTGCAGACTACACAGGACAATAGACACCCAGGTTAAGTTCATTCTCCACCTCTCCCCCAAAGAGAACTCCTGCAGTCCTACACTCCTTCAGTTTGGCACTGGTGGCCCTTGATACACAAACACAGGAAATAAAGGTTTTCTTTATTTTTATTGAAGAAAAAACGTGGTATGATATGATATATACATACAAAAGGGATCAAATAGGATAGCCCGAGGATTTGTGAAGTGACAGGATACAAACATCAACTTTAATTACGTTATGCTCTCTGCATTAAAGACCAAAACAAATTTCAAACAGCAGCTGCAAATATTAAATATCTGTCAGTCCTGCATTATAATCCCTGTCATGTTGACATGAAGGGATTTCTTACACTGAGTATTACAGCAGATATTTCTTCAAAAGACTCAATTTAATCAGGAGGGCTTAACTTTTTACAATAAAGTATATCTAAAGACAGTTTAGCATACAGCTAGAACCCAGAAAATCATTCAAAAAAAAAAAACACAGAAAGTAGAAGTACTAGCTACCATTTCAAGTGATTTCAACTTACAGACTGTATGTATGAAAATACGTTTCCACAACTTAAGTTTTACGATAATTTCAAAATTTTTGGTCTAATCTACCAAAAGCAATGGCTTCTTAAATCCAAACAATGTCAATTAATTTCAAAGGCTCAAACACAAGAAAGTTAGAAAATTATTTACAAAGTGTAATTTTTATTATCCTAACTTCACTAACTTTGGCAAAGAGAAGAAGACCTTATTAAAAACCTTTTATCTAATTTCATCATAATCAGCCAAATGTAATGATCACTCTGGGGTGTTAAAATCATTCAACTCCAGGCTGCACAGTGCTCGCTGACATAGGATTAAACTACTAACGTAGTTTTAAAAAACATTTTAATTCATTTTGATGCTTTTCTGATTTTTTCGTCTTTATTTTTAATGTATACTTCTACACGCTAATACAACAAACCACATCACACTCCTAAATATTTTCTTCCATCTGTCTCAAGTGTGTCATTGAGAAACTTTTACTGAATCAAACACCAGTTAAGCACCAGGTTTTCAGTCTGTTATTTTACGATCTGTCTTAATGTCTTTTAAAGGTGCTTTGGTAATTCCACCCATCCAATTTAAACGAAACCCTGACTGACCTGGTTTTAAATGTTAGGTTTTGAGTAAATCCTCCATTTGGTACTGACCACATACTTTCAGGTTGATCTGCACTCTTTAGGTTTTAAACTCCTGGAGGAAACACTCCTGACCTGTGAGCGCTTAAACATGCTCATCTGAATTTCACTGTGACAGGATTATCTTAAAGAATCATTCATGCTTCATGCAAACCCATTTCATGGAAAACAGTAAAAGAACATTTTTTTACTAATCCAGTTTTCTGAGAAAGAAAAACATTTAACTTCCTTCTCCCCTAGTTTGTGTGCTCTGCCCAATGGTAAATGTATTTGTTGTTTAAGGAAATCTGGTTCATGCGAGTCCTTCTGTGCCGTGATGGATGTTCTCATGAATGCTTCAGACCTGATCACCACCATTCTGCTCACATCTTTCTCCATTCTCGTTTGGCAGGAGTCCACGTTGCTCTGCAGGCTGGTTTTGGTTTTCAGAGACAACTGTAGGAAAGAAAATGTATTATATAAATATGATCAGTAACACTAAATCATTAAGGACTATTTGCTTAAGCTTTTTCAAACATTTTCTTTGGTAAATCTTTACTTTACTATAACTAAGACCCTCCCAGATTGAGTTTATAATTAATCAATTTAGTTTTAGTTAACATATAGTTTCACTATAAGTCCACTGATTTTACAAAGTCACGTGTTTTTATTTTAATAGTTGCTGTTTTCTAAATGATGCTTTCCCCAAACACACAATGATGATTAAATAACTGAAATACTGAAAAAATATATATTAATAAATAAAACAAATAAAAAACCTAAACTGAACCAAGTAAACCACCTGTGGAGACTGAAACCCTTCCAATGCAGCCTTTATTTGAAAATACTAACCAGTGAGACAAGGTTCAGAGTCACCGGTAGGGCTGTCGGACCGCTGTGACCCTGTGAAAGGAAGAAGAAGTATTCAGGTACAGTGTGTGTGCCTGCAGCAGCATGTGTAACACATGTAAGATGACATATTTTGATTTTTGTAGCTTTTTAAAAATGTATTTAATTCTGAATATAGCACTGGTGCAGATGAACACTTACCAGTGGGGCTGGGATTGAGAGGTGACCCGCTGCCTGCACACACACACACACACACACACACGTTACTAATGCAACAGTGTGCCCTTGTTTTCAGTCCATTACTTATGTTGCTTGTGTTTTATTTGTAACGGGCTGCAGGTGTAAACTGGCTTTAAGCCATTATTAATTTGGCAACATTTGGCAAGATAAATATGAGCACATAATCACTTCTTATTTTAGTCATAAAATTATTCTTAACATTTAAGAAAATCCAGAGCAGAAACTGAGAGCAACATCATAGATCCAAACTTCAAACAAAGGCCAAATACTTTTATATTGCTTAATAATTAGTATGAAACTCATTGTGCAAATATTAGTCTGCACAAAACCACTTTGAAGGGTTCACTTTCAGTATTTTTTATTATAAGACAGTGGTGAGTACTGATAGAGAGCACAGTTTGAGATTTGAATGAAAAAGCATGTGAGTGTAAATAGACCCAGTTTACACAGTGCTCCATGTCTGATTATTTTATAACTCTGCATTAATAAGACAACAACCACGACATAGAGCTGTTAATAAAACCTCCAGAACTTAACACTAAAATTCAAACTAAGTTTGTGCTCCTGAAAAATGGGTGATAGATGTGTTAGCATGAATAAAGAACATGTAGTCTTTCATGGGCTCAAGAGCTACTAAGTATCCGCCGATTTACAGTAATGTCAGCTCTCTCTATATTTATATATTTATGCACTTATTTCAGAAGAGACTGCCTCGTTAATGGTGCCTGCATTCGGTTGCACTGACATAATACTAGTTACAATTTCAAATGGAGTTCCTGTAGCACTCATTCAAAGCTTGGTTTTTTACCCACATCAAACTTTGCAGAAAAGAAAAAACCTTACCGCCACTTTTGTTGCCATCACCTCCTGCAAGTACAGAAAGTATAACAAATCATGAATGACATCAATCAGAACTTTAACCAAGCTCACATTATACCTCATAATGACTGAAAGGGGTCCAGTTCAATGTGACCCTTTAACAGGCAAACGTACTTGAGAAACTGAATCCACAACAATAAATGCTGTTAACTAAAATGATCGATTTCCTACATTACTTATCAATTATTTTGTTCATGTAGACAATATTTGAACAGCTGATTAATACGCAGAGTACTTTACTGCTTATTATCACTTTTGTTTATTCTGAGGATTTTTTAAAAAAAAAAAATACATTTTTGCCTGTGTTCTTGCTTACAGGATATAAAACTATTTGGTGCAATAAGAAGAAACTATTTAACTCAACCCCTGTTGCAAACAATTATCATACAAAATGGCACACTGCACCTACCAATAATGCCCCGTTTCTTTAAGATCAGAACCAGAGGCACTCCAACAATAACCAGCACCAAGATTACAGCTACAACACCAATGATGATGCCCATGTTTCCCGGAGGCTCAGGATCTATAAACATGCTGTGGTCTGAAACACAGAAAACACTCACATTAGGACTTGATGTTCAATTGACATTAAAATGACTGAAATGTAGTTTTAAAGTAACAGTTAAAATAAAAAGAACATGCACTGGTTATTTGTGCAAGTGAGAAATGTGACAAAAAACACTAGTTATTATTAAAACTAGTGTTTTCAGTCGTTTTCACAGAGTTGTGCGTCCACATTGAAACGGCTGAAACCGCTTACGTTCCAGATCTGCGCATGTACAAAAGCGCATGAGAATTAAAGAATTTGAAGAAAAGCTATCTGGAGCATGAACAAACTGATATTTATCTTTTTCAGGGCTGTCAAAATTGAGAGCAAACAAAACGACTGCTGTACAATGCGCTCTGCTATTTTTGTTCAATTGGTCACATGACTGCGTCACATGACTAACATGCGTCATCGTTTTAGAAGGTCTGCGTTTTCAAGCGTCCACATTGCGACGGGGTAGCTCCATTTTGAAATGTATGCGTTTTCAAGTGCGTTTTTTCCTTGGGGAAAACGCCATCTCAGTGTGGACAGGGGGGCCAAAACGGAGAGAAAAAGATGCGTTTTCAAACAAAGATGCATTAGTGTGGATGTAGCCTAAATAAATACGATTAGCAAATGATGAAAACAATTTTTTTTAAAGTTTCTTACCCCAGACACTGATAACATTCACATTGGATGCCTTATGAACGACTTCACAGCTGAACTTTGACAGGTCAGACTTCAAAATCTCCACATAGTCTCGTCTCTGGAAGGTCTCATCGTTATTTGGAACAACACCCGAGCTCTTCAGGCCGTCGTCTGCAGTCAGAACACGTCCGTTCCTCTTGATCCACAATTCGATGTCTTTGGGGTAGAAGCCTGTGGCGAGGCAGGTCAGGATGAGGTTGGTCCCCTCTTTGACCTTCTTTCCAAACACGTACACGTCAGGTTTAGCTGGAAGGAGGACATGTGAAGTGATGTCACCACATAGGTTATCACCTGAATTTGGTTCTTTCTGACAGATCAAAACGGCGTATGAATGGTACTGGCTATAGCTACTTAACAAAACTGCTTTCAGTACACTGTTGGGACTCTCTAAAAGCCACATTTATACTCTCCACACCTTTAAACAATATTGTAAACATCCCTACAACCATGCATGCGAATCACTTCCTTTTTCACAGCATTTTAACAGAAGAAAAAGCTCAGTTTATTCTCTTCTGCTTATCATTATCATTGTCACAGGGGGGCTGGAGGCTGAAGCCCAGCTACTACTGCGGAAGAGACGGGTTATACCCTGGAGAGGTCGCCAGCCTGATGCAGAGCTAACACATATTCAAGCTCATTTAAAAATGTCGGATATATATTTACTATTTGGTTAATGTTCAAATTGTCAACAATCATGAACTGCTGTTTCTGCTTTCTCAAATAAAGAGACTGAGAAGTTGTAGGACACTTGAGCTCTGTTCACACATGAGCCAACCTTTACTTTTCTAGAGATTTCTCAGCTGAGGTTCCTGTGAGAACCTTCAAACTTGATTTAGCGTGTCTGAGTGTCCTGCTGCACTGAGACATAAACAGCGCAGGAGACTGAACAAAAAACCAACACATCTATCACGTGATTGTCCTGCCTTCTGCGCTCCTGCAGCTCCATCACCAAAACTTAACACTGTAGTACTTTCTAATAGTGGCAATGTAGATGACACAAAAAATGAAAACTTCAATATTCCAACTGATTCTGTAAAAAATTATAAAAATAAAACCTTTTGAGTTTATGCCAAAATTACAATTTTTAACTTAGGAAATTTGATTTTGAGAAATATTATTAGGATTAGATTTTTTTGAACTTCTACCATAATCACATTTTTTATGTAAATGTTGAAACATGTGGACCTAAAACGGCTTCCTGACAAATGCTGTGAAAAAGTAAAAGGTCACAGACTGAAATCCACGTTACAGTATGTAAGAAACTTTCTACCTTAATCTGTCTGAACAACAACAACTATCACTAAAACTAATTTTTTAAACTATCAGTTACTGATACAAATATTCATCATTATTTTGAATATTACATATCAAATTATTTCATGTCATACATACAGGCGCTTCGTAGCTGCTTATCCTCATAATTCACAAACTTGCTCAGCCAATCGATGCACTCGTTCTCCAGGTATCCCTTGGTGTACTCTTTCAGCACCTGGACGCCGTCCCACTTCCTCTTGGTGGGTTGTGCCTCTGGAATCGGAGCGACCCAGACTCCGTTTTTATCATCAAAGGACAGGAAGTCGTTTCCATCGTAGTTGTACATGTCCATGCCTCGGACAAACCTGAGCTTGCCGTCAGGATTCGTTTCAGCCTCACAGCCGTGCATCCACTGAAGAACGTGAGGGGCTGAAGGAACAACAGTGATAGAAATGAAGAAGATATCAGAAGAACAGAGATTCAGAGAGGACACCATGATGTGTGGGTCAGGATTACTCAATCATTCACACTGAGAAACAACTTACTGCTTGAGTCATTCTGTCTCATTCGCTCCATCAGGATGCCGATGTTGACCTTGAACCACTGCTGCTTGCTCTTGCGGGACTGTGTGCCTTTATCCCAGTAATCAGCAGGTAAACGCTCTCTCATCCACTCCTGTTTGGGAACTTTTTTCTGATGCTCGCTGTCAAAGTAGTCGATCATCCTGTTGTCCAGCAAACCCATGGCTGTGAACTGGTGGATGCCCGGGAGGCCGACAGGTTTGGAGAGCGCCGTGTAGATGTAATGGAGGGAGTGAGTGTCTGAAAGTCACACAGGTGGGAAAACACACAATATTAATTTATTTATGTATGACAGCTGAGAAGCAGCAGATCTGACTTGTGCACTGAAGTTATTTTTTAATAAAGTTAAAGTAAAAACAGCTGCTTAGTGAAGTGAGAGTTTATACTGAAGCTGTTTTCAGTTTCTGTCCTCAGCTGTGTGTAGACGTCACTGCACTGAAACACTTCCTGCTCTTGCGTGCCCTTCGGTTAGCTCACATTCACAACCACTGAAGCTTTTTACGAGTTTATGTAGCAGCATGTTTTCGTTTTTAACATAAAGCTCGATAAATATTCTCTGAAGTGAAATTTTCTATATGAAAACACTGTTCAGTCAGTTATTAAAGAAAATAGAGACAGCTCTGACAACAATGATGATTCCACACTGAACAGGTGCTAGAGTCCAGTCTGGATGTTTAAGTTTACTGGTGACAGTCACACAACATTATGTCAGGTTATAGTAATGAACTAAACATGAAGAAAACAGACAGCAAGTATTACAAAACTATTTAAAATATTTAAAAAGTGCAAAAATGTTATTTTTAGTCTCTTTCAGTTTGGTTACATCTAGTCAACCTGCAGAGCCAACTAAATTGAATTTAAAAGTAAACAAATAAGAAGAAATAAAACTAGAATAACAGCGAGGCAGACTTATGAAACTGAGAGAAACTCAGTAACTTTGTCATCTTTGCTTACTAAATGTAAAATAAATAAATAATAAAAGCAATAAAATGTTCATCACTTGCTGTTAGAATAATTAAATAGCTTTCCTGAGCATTAGCTGTTTTTTTCCAGGTAAAGAGATTATTGTAACGTTCCTGTGTAAACGTCAGAAGAAGAAGAAGCTTCACCTCACAGACCTAAAACAACATCAGCACAGCAATAATTAGTTTCATTTAAAAGTTATACCTTTGATTTCAGCTCTGATCAGCAGCTCTGAACTCAAACCCACAGAGACACGAGTGACGTGTTTCTGTCAGCGTGGGAAAAAAACCCTGCAGTGTCTCAGGTGCGTTCACTGAATGTGGGGAAAATGTTATTAATTCAATAAAAGATTTAGTTTTCAAATCTCACACCTGTCTCAGGTAAGCAGGAAAACAAGTTGTTTACAGTAAACTCTGAGATGCTTCTGACTGTTCGTCACGTCACAGATATGATAATAATGTGATCAGTCCGGCTCAGCAGCATCAGCTCACAGCGACACACCTGTTCTTACCTGTTTACTCAGGACATGATTCACAACCGCTAACACGAAGTCCACTGCTATAAACCAGAGGACTCTAACCTGTATTATCGCACTGGTTAATACACACACACACACACACTCCCACAGACACACACACACACTCCCACAGACACACACACACACTCACACACACACACACAGACACACACACAGTTTACAGCCGTGATCTTCAGTCAGCTTTGAAGTTTTCAGGTTTTGAACTCAACACTTTATACGAAACGGTCTGATCTTAAAACACAGCCAAGAATTTAAATGAAAAGATTAAATCAATAAAATGTTCAGTATTTGTGTCTGTAAGTGTTTCTCTTCGGGCCTCAGCAGACCCGCGGCCGCAGCTGAACTTGAGAAACACCTGGGAGGATTAAAGCGCTTTCTTCGTTCCCACTTTCACACACCTGGTGTACAGAGTCACGCCACGGCACAAAAAACACCCCAAAAAACTTTTTTTGCAGATTAATTAAACTAAAATCGTCGTCTGAACTTTTGTTTTTCAGCGACGTCACAGTCCGTTTTTACTTTCGGTTTGGACCCGCTCCGTTAGCGTCGGTAAAAAAGCGCAAACTCACCGCAGTTTACGGTCAGCGCCGTCCCCAGGAGGACGAACACCGCGAACAGGTTCATCGTGACTCCGAATCACAGCCTCTGCTCGGTAAAAATCTCAGATTTATCCGCTTTTCGGTCGGAGGCGTCCTCCCCGCGTCCTCCCTGAAGTGATCGGCTCTATTTCCTGACTCTGTCTGCTCACTGCTGCATTCACGGCCGCTCGTAAACAACAGACGCCTTCAAGTCACGCCCACCTGCTGGCCTCGATAGCGTTTACGTAACTGACAAAGGTGAGAGAGCAGGTAGAACCAACGGAGCTCAAACTGTCCCACAAACTGCATTTATTTATTTTATCACAGAGACAGAAGCTTCCGGTTTGAGTGGTTGAAAAGACCTCAAATGTCCCCGACTGGAAGGATTTCACAAACTTAAGAAGCCCAGCTGAGTTTTTTAAAGCCGTCCAGACCACCAGGACCTGAAGGACCGACAGCACGGACACCTTCACCTCAGTGCTCACAGATCAGTCTGAAAAACTCAGCTCAGAGAAACAAGATCCACTTTTTACTCAAAGTCTACCCTGGAAAAAGATTAATTAAAAAAATAATAATCTGTGCGTGTTTCACGTGTTTGTGGTTCTTTAGAAAAACCTTTTTAAACTAAAATAATCACTTTTCAGATTTGACCCTGTGTGGATTAAAGACTTAACCAGCCGTGCCTGATGAAAGTATTTACACATTCAAGCTTAGATCAGTGAATGTGTCACAGAGCTTCCTGGTTCCTGCTCCGTGTTTTATTTCCTCATTGCAGCAGTTTGCGTCAGCTGATTCTTCTGTTCTCTCGAAAACATTTCATCTGCGCACATTAAACATGTGTCGGACTCACGGAGGGTTCGTGGGGACTTGTTAAACTGTAAGAAATGTTGAAGTAACACAAACAAACTCCTCCAAGGAAACGGACACTTCTGATTGGCGGGGTTTGTGACTACATAAAAAATAAATCAGTAGCTATAATCTAATAACATTTAATAATAATTACTTTTAGTAACTCATAATTCTGAAACAAATTTTATTTTTTTATATTAAAATCATAGGACAGACAGTGTGTACTGATGTAACACAAGAATAAGCAAATTACATGATGTTCACCCACAACAGCCGGACTCACGTTCACAGCGAGGAAGAACTGAAACACTTTTCTCTGTTTCCTTAAATATGTTGGAAAATAGAAACATCTGTATGGATCCCAGATGTTCATAACCAGTGTGTCCATATGTGTGTGTGTATGTCTATGGGATCATTCTGTAACACTAACAACAAATATTAAACCAAAAGATGAAGAAGAATCAGCTGATGAGTTATTATATGTCAACCAACTCACACACACACACACACACTCACACACACACACACTCACACACACTCACACACACACACACACACACACACACACACACACACTC